GAGTTCCTCTTTAGCTCCTCAGAGAGCTCTTTCAATTTTCCTATAGCTAAGGTTACTTTACCATTGGGGCCTGTGTTTTCTGGGATGTAAGTACAACATGTCATGGTGTCAGGCAGAATTTTACATACCCCTCCTTTTTCTGCTAGAATCATATCTAAAGCCATTCTATTTTGGAATGACATTTGGGACGTAGCCTGCAACTGTTCGGCCAAACCCTGAAGGGCATCCCTGGTGTAATTAACAAACCGTTGTTGGTTGTAGTAGATGTAATTTATCCAATTTAAATTCTTGTTTGCAGTGACTATGGTAAAAAGTGATTCAAATCCTGCAGCAACTTCATCCCTGGCTTTAAACTCATTGGGCACCCCCCTAGGTACCCCAATGGCATCAATGTAAATATGAGGGTCAAAACTGCCTTTTACTGGGGCTTCACGCTTTACCTTGGTTGGTGAGTGTTTGGACTCATGAGTATCGGGGTGTGTGTCAGAGATAATATGTATGGGCATGATTGCTTTAGCCAGAGTACACTCCCCCCACCATTCTTTATCCATTCTTGATCTCAGCTGTAGATCCCCACACAACCAGTAAATATCCCCCAATGATCTAGTGTGGAATTGTAGGAGGTTCATAGAGACAGTTCTGTAGGTGGCACAATAACCTTTAGAGAAGTTACCCACAAATTTACCAATTCCATCATAATTAGCATAACAGGTATAATTACCTTTATAGACGGTAACACCATCTGGGGGTTTGCAATCTTTGACTAGAAGAGGATACTCTACTGTCCATGCTTTACATATGGACCTATTGAAATTGTAGTGATAGGCAAAAAGACTCAGAACACATTCTTCTATATCTACTGGCAAAGTTGAAGGCACAGTGCCCAGGTGCGGCCGGGCACCACCACACACATAGCATGCGGTTCTGTTATGTTTGTTGGCATTATATTTCATCCATTCTAACCATAGATTAACATCATTGAAACCTGTTTCAGCGGCCATGGTATCTTCAAATGTTGGATTTGCAATGGCCATCATGTCTTTAAAAGATTGGATGTGTGGTTTCAACGGATTTGAGACCATGTGGGTGGTCCCTTTCCACTCAGGAGAGTGGCACATATCTTTAAGGTGGAAATGTCCTAATTTATTATAGGAACCCTTCTTCCAGTACATTCCCATTACATACTGGTCTGCATCCGTTGGGCTGGGATGCTCAATGTTTAAGATTAATTTCATAGGTATGCCTCCTCCGGCTTTCTTAGAGTCATTCTCTGGAGGAGGGACCTACCGTGATCATCAATTTTAGATAAGACACTTTTTGGTTTGTAACCCCAGGCAGGCCCGGCATTCCATCCCGCCGCCCCCCAATGGTTACAGTTGTGCCCCCATTGTTTGTCAACTACACAAACATAGGGGTCTTTTGAATGAGGGATATCTCTATAGATATTCTGAATCTGTGACGTGGGGAATGGGCATTCTACGATGTCACAGTAGTCAAAAGTATAAGTAGCCACACGGGTACATGATGAATTATACCAGAAGGTGTACCCACTAGCATCTTTGGTGATGGCCACCTGCTGGGCTTTAAGGAGGCCAACTAAGGAGATAATGTACCAGAGGCACATGGTTGCATAGAGTTAGCTTCCTCTGGGGCAGGTGTCTTCTTGCAATGGGAAGCGTGGATCCAGTTAGGCCTTCCGGCCAATTTGACAGAGGTAGGGGAGATCAGGAGAACTTGGAACGGACATTTACTGTTTTCGCACAAATTTCTTGACCAGAACCCAGTCATCGGGGAGCAGACTGTGGTTGCCTGTGTCAGAATCAGGATCTGGAATTGAAGAGAAAACTTGGGCATGGATTTTGTTTAAGGCGTTTGCGAGTTCAGTTACATAATCTACTAAGACATCAGTTTGAAGTTGTAGTTGTTGGGAAAAATAGCAACCTAGCCTAGGTGCAGTCCCAAATAGAATCTCATATAGGGACAATGAGGTAGTATTTTTGTACAAGAGCATTCATTAGATCCTTTGATAAATGTGCAGGTCCGTGTGCACATTGTACGACTGCTGGGTACAAATTCTTAGGGAGGCAGAACTTGAGGTTGTTGGAGTACACTCCATCCTTCAGAACTGCCCCTTTCTGTTTCCACTTCTGTATTTCTTCAGGGGCAACTGTAGCCTGTTGTTCCCGCAGGATTTTTAGGTCAGTTGGAAGAGTCTGCAGAGTAAATATGGGAGTTTCTTCATTTCCGGACACTCTTCTTTCCACTTCCTGTGGTTCTTTTGCAGCTTGTTTTGCAGCCTGATCAGCTAGATGGTTGCCCCTTGCTTCATCTCAATCCAACTTCCCATGTGCTTTTATCTTCAAAATAGCCACTTCTTCTGGGAGTAGGAGGGCGTCCATCAGCTCCTTGATTGCGGAACCGTGCTTGATTGGTGTACCGGCGGTGGTAAGAAATCCTCTTGTTTTCCAAATTAATCCGAAGTCGTGAGCCACGCCCAGTGCATATCTTGAATCCGTGTAGATATTGGCGCGCTTTCCTTCAGAGATCTTGCATGCTGAAGTCAGGGCTTGCAATTCAGCTTCTTGTGCAGACATAGTTGATGGTAAAGATGATGATTTGACAATTTCATCTGTTGTGGTTACGGCATATCCTGTATGGTATCTTCCTTCTTCATCAGCATATCTTGAGCCGTCCACAAACAGGGTGAGATCGGGATCTACCAATGGGTCTTCATGCACAGTTGGTAGATGTGTTGTTTCCATTTTCATCTGTTCAAAACAGTCATGAGCTGTATCTGGGTCGTAGTCATTCACTATGGTTAAATCTTGGAACTCATTCTCCAGGAAATGACGCGGCCATGCTTTTAGGTGGTCAGTTGTTGGATATTTGACAACACCATTTTCCTGTAGCTGTGATTCGTCCATAGTGGCCCATGTTTTTGCCATAGGCCCAAGATCATTCCATGATATTGTTTTCAACTTGGTCACAGGGACATGTGGAATGGCAGTGTCCCAATGACGGTACAAATGCTTGAGTTCCGGAGGGAGATGAATCAAGACCATACTGTTGCCTTCAGAATCACAGTAGAAGTCTTGTGCAGTGAGTTTTACTTCGACCAGATGATAGAGTTCATCTTCATAGCAGGTTTCAGGAGGGATGTTTGATTTGTACCACATGGTACAGAAGGCATATCCTGCTCCGTCATGAAGGAGTGCTTGTCCATCATGAAAGGATAGGTTGGGATGCATTTCCTTCTTGATGGTGCCAGTGAGAAGAAAAACATGTTTCGTCCATGATGAATCCATAGTATACACCCCCCTCAGGGAGTGGCAGAAGAGTGGACGGATTGAGAACTTGACATCTTTGGAGGGTAATGTTGTCAGGCAACAAAAGATGACATTGAAGGCGAAGATGCCTAGCAGGAGTAACATGCTTAAGTTGGACCTGGTTGACTATGGCAGAAATGTCATGGGGGGCCAAGACAACCAGGGGGTGGCCAAGGACAAGATCTCCAGTTCTTTCAATGAGCTCTCTAGCAGCAAAGACGGCCCGAAGGCAAGAGGGACGTCCTCTGGCCACAATATCCAGTTGGCAGGAGAAAAATCCAATAGGCCTTGGCGGCCTCCAGGACCATGGGCCTGAGTGAGCACTCCTGTTGCATGGCCTTGTCTTTCAGAAACAAACAATTTGCATGCCACTGAGAAGGCTGTCAATTTGGTGTCTTGAGCAGATGTGGGTGAGGAAAGTAAAGATGCTTGACGTACCTGATCTTCTGTAGCAACAGCAAATCCAGTATGGTACCTTTCCTCTTCATCCGCAAACAGAGTGGAGTCAGGATCTGGCAAAGCTACTGCATGCCTTGTTGAGAGGTGTCTTATTTCTTCTTTCATCTGTTCAAAGCAACCATGAGGAGTAGTAGAAGAGATATCCTCACCTATTTCTGTGTGAGATTGAGGGTATTTGTCTTTCCATTTACAATTGTCTTGCTGCCCCCCCCTCTGTAGAGAGCTGATATTGATTTTTAGTGTTTCATGTTTTATTGAGTCAGGTTCCTTTTATGAGATTTCTGGGGACTTAGTGAAGAAAACATGAGGGGCAGCCACCTCCCAGTGATGATACAGGTGTCTTATTTCCATGGGAATCTGGGTCAGGACCGCACTATTTCCTTGAGAGTGCCCAAAACAGTCTGAATAATAATTTTTTTATTTTTTATTTTTTTGTTAGTGTGGTATTCCCCCCTGGGAAGTGGCGGAAGAGGGGCCAGAGCAACTTTTTTTCTTCAAAATATAATGTTGTCAGGTAGGGGACAAGGTGGAGTAGAGAGAGGAGTAGGAGGAGGAGAAGGTGGAGTAGGAGGGAGGAGTAGGAGGAGTAGAAGGTGAAGTAGAGGGAGGAGTAGGAGGAGGAGAAGGTGGAGTAGAGGGAGGAGAAGGTGGAGTAGAAGGTGAAGTAGAGGGAGGAGTAGGAGGAGGAGAAGGTGGAGTAGAGGGAGGAGAAGGTGGAGTAGAAGGAGGAATAGGAGGAGTAGGATTGAATAAGAGGAGGAGGGAGGAGTAGGAGGAGGAGAAGGTGGAGTAGGAGGAGGGGAAGGTGGAGTGGGAGGGAGGAATAGGAGGAGTGGAAGGTGAAGTAGAGGGAGGAGTAGGAGGAGGAGAAGGTGGAGTAGAGGAGAGGAGAAAGAGGAGGAGAAGGAGGAGGAGAGAGAAGTAGAAGGAGGAGAAGGTGGAGTAGGAGGAGGAGTAGGAGGAGGAGAAGGTGGAGTAGAGGGAGGAGAAGGTGGAGTAGAAGGTGAAGTAGAGGGAGGAGTAGGAGGAGGAGAAGGTGGAGTAGAGGGAGGAGAAGGTGGAGTAGAAGGAGGAATAGGAGGAGTAGGATTGAATAAGAGGAGGAGGGAGGAGTAGGAGGAGGAGAAGGTGGAGTAGGAGGAGGGGAAGGTGGAGTGGGAGGGAGGAATAGGAGGAGTGGAAGGTGAAGTAGAGGGAGGAGTAGGAGGAGGAGAAGGTGGAGTAGAGGAGAGGAGAAAGAGAAGGAGGAGGAGAGAGAAGTAGAAGGAGGAGAAGGTGGAGTAGGAGGAGGAGTAGGAGTAGGCAGGGGTGGGCAGGTAAGGGAGCAGACAGGTCTCCAGTCTCTTCGGGGGCGTGGGTATGTAGCAGTGGAGGATATATCAGAAATCAGAATTAAGTAGAAATGCAATGGAGGCTGCAAATAGCGCATGTACAACAACTGTTAACTGGCCCTATGCTTTCCCTAGAGAAAAATAATAAAAGGCTAACAAGCACATCTGTCTGTACAGGCCTCGAACGCTTCACTCCGTGGGTATCCCGCAGTGGCTAGTCCACTACATCTCCCACACCAGACTTTTGCTCGTAGAGACAGACGCTATCCCTGACTCTCTATTTTATAACTCTCTTACACACAAATATACATTATCGCAATTTTATGTCTCGCAAAAGGGATAAAACTTATTTTACTGTAATGTAAAAACTTACAAAATAGACAAATAACTGTTTTTCTGCGAGATAAATGAAAAAGATAATGGAGGTTTTGTTAAGCTTTACATTTAGCTATACATTAATTTATCCTTTCTGGTTTCCAGTTTCTCTCTGTTAATGACAATGTACAATGTAATAGAGCAGCAGGAAAAGCTAGCAGAATGCTTGGTTGTATAGGGAGAGGTATTAGCAGTAGGAAGAGGGAAGTGCTCATGCCATTGTACAGAACACTGGTGAGACCTCACTTGGAGTACTGTATACAGTACTGGAGACCATATCCTTAGAAGGACATGGATACCTTAGAGAAAGTTCAAAGAAGGGCTGCTAAACTGGTTCATGGATTGTAGGATAAAACTTACCAGGAAAGGTTAAAGGATCTTATCATGTATAGCCTAGTGGAAAGACGAGACAGGGGAAATATGATAAAAGCATTTAAATACACAAAGGGAATCAACACAGTTAAAGTGGAGTCTATATTTAAAAGAAGGAAAACTACCATAACAAGAGGACATAGTCTCAAAAATAGAGGGACAAAGGTTTAAATAAAAATACTATCAAGAAGTATTACATTACTGAGAGGGTAGTGGATGCATGGAATAGCCTTCCAGCTGAAGTGATAGAGGTTAACACAGTAAAGGAGTGTTTAAGCATGCGTGGGATAGGCATAAGGCTAAGCACTTGCTGCTAGTAACAGATCTAGAATCAATACACTATAATGCCCAAAGTCTCGACTTCTATGCATATTTAATAATAAAATATCTGGGCTTACATTAAAAAAAAAAAATATGTTAGTCAGTCTTTAATCTTGGTGGTTAACATTATCCAATAAAGACAGATTGGAACACCCTCCCCCCTTATCCATTTGTTAGTAGTTAGGCTCATAATGTTTTCTGGTTCTTTTCAATTAGATCAAAACATCTTGAGACCAATCTTTAATTGTATTACCATTTGTTCAAGAAATCTTTGTTTATTAGAAATTTCTTTTAGCATGTTATCAATTTTTTTGTACACAAAGTTAATACATATTGTTACTTAACACGTGAAGATCTCGTCAGCCATGGATGGCCAGAACTGACACGATATATGGGCAGATATGACCTCACTAAGGGCAGAGTGAAGGCACTTAAGGACAACCTTCTTTTGTTCTAGGGGCCATTTTCCTTTAGGGCATACTAAGTCTCTCTGGAGGCGTGGGTTTCATGGGAAGTAACATTCTGTTCGGCAAAATGAAAATCTGAACTGTGGACAGACTTGACGGATTAAATAAGACAGTTGTGAATATTATACATCTAACAGCCCACAAAGCTGTCTCTAGAAACATATACTAACTTAATAACTTCTATTCCTGCATCAGATTCACTCCCTAACCATCCTATCAATTTCTATTGAGATAACAAAATACACAATTAGAATATTTTCTAGCAAAAATTTCATTGCTAAAATCTTATCAGTAGCTTCTGAATAACTCTACAGAACACCGAAGAGACAGACCTAAATCGCAAGCATGTCACCACCCCCTCCGCCCCCTCCCCCCCGCGTCTCACAGAAGCGAGGGGAGGGGGGGGTGTTTTAGCAGAGGGGGATTTGAGTGGAACAAGAGAGAGACTGCCTGCCAGCACGAATTTAACCATGTCAACGCTGTACAGTAACAAGACAGAAGGACAATTACATTACAAAGCAAAAACACAACATTTCATTTAAACCCCCACCCTCTACCAGGGTAATGGCTAACACAAAATACAAAAACCCCACAGCGTTTTAAGATTGGGGTGGGATGGTGACCATGGTCAGCTACATTTCGGTCATTACTGACAGGATGATGGAAGTGGTCACCTCCTGGAACGCCCCGACAGGGCACTGGCTGGGATAACTTCCCAGTAACACAATTATTATGATATACATACAGTTCTTAACCCTTTATGATTTATCTCTTCCTCTACCCAACCCTCCTGCTGGATAGCCTTTCTACTCTGTACCATGCTTCAGCAGTACGCAATAAATCATTATCTGTAAGCTTGCCTTTCTTCTCTGTCAGTAATCTACGCCAGCTTTCTGGCTGTAATCTACCACATGAAGGCACAGCAATTTTACACACTTTAGCAATCTTTGCAACATTTTTAACCAGTTCTTCACCTTCTCTATCTTCAACTAAATCACACGCGAGCCAGCCCCTAGCGGGCTTACTCGTTTCCTGTACCATATCCCCCTATACAAAGCGTATAAAAACATATACAAAGTATAGGTAAAGGAAAATGAAACAGAACGTCTACAATGCTCGACTGCCACTAGGAAGGGTGGGTCCCTCCCAGTGCGTCTTCCCAAAACGTAGACCAGTCACTGAATCCGTGTACCCTCGATGGTAACCACGGATTGGAGCGGGGTGAGAAGTGTGTGACCAATCACTTCTCTTTCAAGAGAAATAGGAGTGGATAGTGTAAATAGAACAGGAAGTAGAGGAAAAGTAAACAGTGAAAGTAGAGACAGACCCAGGAGTTTGAATGACTCCACACTTAAGACAACATTTAATACAACATTTCAATTGAAATACAGTGCATGCATCAACAGTAATCCCTTTCCTTTACTCTTGTGGCCACCAAGACCACCTCCCTCAATCTCGTAGTGTCCCCGCTCGGAGAACAACTTTCGTAAGTTTCACTACCAGCGGCCAAGGATAACGACTAACACCGGCCCGAAATCCATATGCCTCCCTCGTTACAGCAGTCCACTAAGTGTGGCCACCTCTATCCTCACTCCCGTAGTGCTCCCTATGGACCCACCCACAAGTCACACTACCCCGTGGTGATGGAGACAACAATGCCTGCCCGAATCCACACACCACAAATAAATTGGAATGCCACCAGCCTCAGCGCTCGAAGCTGGAGGGTACCATAACCTCTGCAAGCAGAGCAACGTACACAATGAGGCTAGCTAGAATATCAAAGTGACGTAACCGGGAAACCCCAGGAGGCAAGTCCCCTCCACAGAATCCCCCAACCCTTCTTTTTCCATACTACTGTTAGCTAGACAGTACCTAAAAGAAGTAAACAGGAAAACAGGACCCCTTTGGAAAATCCCCACAGGTCCACCCCCCCTTTTTTAACCTCTGCAGTCTGGGCCAAGTGACTCCTAAAAAGGGGTAAAAACAGGCAACAGAAGACCCCCAGGCAACCACCCACGGGTCCACCCCCCTTTATCTCTAAAGAGGGAAAGAACAAAACATATACCACTAGCACACCCAGGCAACAGATAGACTAAATGCAGGTAAACAAATGGGTAACAAGACACCGGGCAAGATATTACCTGTCTTTGATGCCCTCCCGGGAAGCAGTCACAGACACGTGGACGGGTCAATCAAAGGGGCTGGAACATACCGGTGGCTCCTGCAGAAGTCTCTACCGTGTACTCAGAGGTGATCAGTCTCTCTTCCTTCCCCCCTGATTCCTCCGTCCAACAGCGTCTTCCTTAGGACGGCTTACCGGCGGAGGCCATAGCCCGATGCCCCACGTTGGATGGACGCCAGATTGATGTAGATTAATTTAGAAATAAACAAAAATGTTTAAAAGTCTATCTGTTCCTGTCCAAATCTGAGATGAATAAATTGCGTATACGCAGAAGTAAGTTCACACTGACACATGCAGTTCAGGTTAAAAACACTTCAGGAAATTTATTAGCATCTAGTTAAAAAGTGGGCACGCAGGCCTTTTTATATGCAAAATGACATCATCATTGAATATCAGATAATAACAAATAAACATCATTAATTGGGTTAAATGTTAAGTGGCTATGTCAGTGTCCACCCATTAATATTATTAATTGGCTCAGAGATTTGAGTGACTAGTGAGGCACCCTCCCATCATGGGATGTCGTCGCCATTGCTCTTTAGCACGAGGCTTACTCGGTGGAAAGGGGGGCTTGGGCGTCATTTTACGTAGTTAGTGATGTCAGTCTCGTGGTCTGTTCCAAGGTTCTTTTATGAATAGAACATTTCATTTTGTCACTGTTCTCCTGGCCTTGGATTATACTATGTTGCAAGTCAACGGAGATCCGCTAACCCCGGGGCTAGTTATGTCCTTAGAGAGAGAGAATACAATCTCTTATTCATTATACTGAATACTGTCAGGAAATTCTGTCATGTAAGGTGAACAAAATGGAGTTAGTACAATAATTCAATACAGGTTCTAATAAAGATTTTAATAATTCTACATCAGGAGTATGTATGTGCAGTGTTGTTGTTGCACCCCCAGCACACATGACTTAGGCAGCCTAGAACTCTGAATGTCTGAGCTGCCTAATGTTAATTTTGTACTTAAAAATGTCTGTCATCAGCGCGCACTGCACTATGCCGCCAGACATTACTTTTCTCGATTTTACAACAAAGCACCTGCAAGGGGACGATAGTTTTCTCCTCCATCCCACCCTGTGGGCACTCCCACCCTACTCTCTCTGCTACAGTAATACTTTTTTTTTGTTTTTTTGTTGTTGTTTTTTTAATAAACAAAAGTTTCTTTTGCAGTGTAGATCCACTGGATGTGTCCACCATAGTTAATTTATATTTGTTATCCACTATTGTTTACCATTAACTGTGATATTAATATTAAGTATAAAACCCAGAGTTGTATTAAACGTTATTTAATACTTTTGTCAATCGGATTGTCAAAGCTTCTGGTGCTATCAACCAATGTTAAACTACAAGCTTGAGTGTACTATGTCTAAGCTATTGTCATTGTTGCTATGTACGATGACTTGCTAATGCTTTTTCCTACCAAATAAAAAATTATTAAGAAAAAAAAAAAGTATAAATGTGCATAGTAATGTTATGTTGTATGAATTATTTTGGACTTATAT